CAGTCTGTATCTGAAGTCCCACAGGATCTTGGCTCGGTCGTTCTCCACAACCTTTGGCGGTGTTTCCCACCTTGACCTTGGGGTCTCCAGCTCGTACTCTGCACAGATGTTTCTGTGACTGTGGCTCCTCTTGGTTCTGTGGCTCCTCTTGGTTCTGTGGCTCCGTGTTTGTTTCCCTGCAGCATCTGACACCTGCAGTTCTGTGCTGGACTGTCTCAGGAGCCTCTGTGCACAGTCTGCACCGTGGCTCTGGTCTGGTGTGGTAGATCTGGGCCTCTGTTGCTCTGGTGCTCAGGTCCTGCTCCTGAGCTCCAGGATGAGCCTCTGTGTGTCCTTCAGACCCTCTCAAGACATTGGGAGGATTTCTTGATCTCAGTCTCTTCAGTTCTGTTCTGGTGGTTCATGTAGGGGTTTGTCCTGCCATGATGGTCCCTCCAGCTCCTCTTCCTCTGGACCCCACTGTCTGAGACCTTCTCTGAGCTCCTCATCTGTCGGGGCCTTGTCCTTGATGTTCTCATGGAGCTTGGATGTTTCCTCCTGGACAGTGGTTCCACACTCACTAGTCCTCGGCTCCTTCCTTCTGGCTTGCGTACAGTCTCAGGGAGCTGGATTTGGGATGAACCCTCCACATGGTCAGGAGCTTTTGTGTCTTAACATCTGTGTGTGTCTCGTCCTTTGGTCAGTGGTTCCTGCTGGGATCTGATCACTGACAGGAACCAGCTGTTTATTGTCTGGGCCTTGTTTTTGCCATTGAGCTGCTTCTTAGGACTTGCCTCACTCTTTGCAGGTATTTGGCCGTAGCCGCTTGTTGCCTCTTCGAGGAGCCATTTGCTTGTGGGACACCAAGGTACTTCTAACTATCCTCAACATCTGCTATTGTTTCCTCTGGGAGTGAGACCCCCTCTGTGTGTTCTACCTTCTCTCTCTTCATCACCATCCTGCTACATTTCTCAAGCCCGAATGACATTCCAGTGTCTGTGCTGTAGATCCTTGTGGTGTGGATCAGTGAGTCAATGTCTCGCTCATAGTGTACAGCTGATGTCGTCCATGTAGAGGAGGTGACTGATGGTGGCCCCGTTTCTGAGTCATATCCGTAGTCATTGCGGTCGATGATTTGACTGAGGGGGTTCAGTCCCAGAACAGCAATGGGGACAGTGAGTCTCCTTGGTATATGCCACATTTGATGGACACTTGTGCAAGTGGCTTCCCGTTGGATTCAAGGGTGGTTTTCCACAACTGCATCGAGTTCGCAATGAAGGCTCTTAGAGTCCTGTTGATATTGTACAGCTTCAAGCACTCAGTGATCCATGTGTGTGGCATTGAGTCAGAGGATTTCTTGTAATCAATCCAGGCAGTGCACAGGTTGGTCTTACAGGTTCTGCAGTCATGGGTGACTCTTCGGTCATCAGGAGTTGGTGTTTTTGCTGATGCCCTTCTGTGCTGTGCTCATGTATTGATCCATGTGCTGCTTGTCTTAGCCGCAATGATGTCTGACATGAGCTTCCATGTTGTGGAGAGACAGGTTATTGGCCAGTAGTTGGATGAGACTGTGCCCTTTGAGGGATCCTTCAGGAGCCAAGCAACAAGCCAAGTAACTAGTAGCTCAGTGTTCCAAGACCCACAAACGGCAACTGCTTTAACAACTAGAGATTGACAAGGTACAACACAAATGCTACGGTAAGGGGAAGCCAGGACGCCAGGTCAGAGGGGAGTTAACACTAACTCCCCAACCACAGATTGGATACGAAGCCCCAGTACATATCACGCTGAGCGAGGCAGCGCCTGATCTGAAAGATAAGATCATGACCCGAATGAACACAAGGAAACCCCAACGCCAGTTACAGAGGCTAAGTGAAGTACCATCTGAAAGCCTCCCTAGAATGCAGCACTGAGAGTGATCCCTACCACAACCATCACTGAAAACAAAAACAAGTCCCTAGCAATAAACAGCTAATGACAGTGATCAGATCCCAGCAGGAATCATGCACTGGCCAACAGAGTAGATACAGACACAGAAAAAGACACAAAACCTCCTGACCATGTGGAGGGTTCATCCCAAATCCAGCTCCCTGAGACTGTACGCGAGCCGGAAGGAAGGAGGCCGAGGACTAGTGAGTGTGGAACCACTGTCCAGGATGAAATATCCAAGCTCCATGAGAAAGACAGTGGGGCTCAGAGGAAGAGGAGCTGGAGGGACCATCATGGCAGGACAAGCCCCTACATGAGGCGCACTACCGGAACATACTGTGGCAAAAGTGAAGTGGCTCCTGAGACAGTCCAGCACAGAACTGCAGGTGTCAGATGCTGCAGGGAAACAAACATGGAGCCATAGAACCAAGTGGAGCTACAGTCACAGAAACATCTGTGCAGAGTATGAACTGGAGACCCCAAGGATCAAGGTGGGCAACACCTCCAAAGGTTGTGGAGAACGACCGAGCCAAGATCCTGTGGGACTTCAGATACAGACTGACAGGATGGAGATGGACCAACCAGACATAGTGGAGCTGGAGAAGAACAGAGTAGAGCCGTGGTGGAACATCACAACACCAAGAGACGGAACATCAGGAGAAAAGAACACGAGAAACTAGAGAAACACCAGGGGCTCGAGAAAGAGCTCCTGGGATTTTTTTTTGCCTCTGTCCCTTGTTTGGCCAGACTTGCCTGCATTATTTATATTAAGGGGGCCTCAACCTCTCTCTGATTACACTTTGTTTACGTTGGTGGAAGTGCGGTCTCACCTGAGAGACAGCAGGGGGCGCTGGTCCTGTAGAGCGGTCAGGAGCTCGGCGGAGGGTCCTGGATGGTTGTAGCTCAGGTCTAACTCTTTGAGGTGGGAGGGGGCGGAGCTCAGAGCTGAGGCCAGAGCAGCCCCGCCCCTCTCTGAGACCAGACATCCAGACAGCCTAAAGACACAGCATTACACTCATGTGGACACAAGGGGGCAGAGTGCATCATGGGAGCGTCTCACCTGAGCGTCTCCAGTCTGCAGGGGGCGCTCTTCAGTCCAGAACACAGCAGCTCCACTCCTGAGTCCTCGAGGTCGTTGTGACTGAGATCCAGATGTGTGAGACTGGAGGAGCTGAGGACTGAGGCCAGAGGACCACAGCTGTGAGGGACAGGCCACAGAACCTCAGTCTGAGGACAGAGAGGGACATTAGAGACTAGAAACCTCAGCACACAAGAGTTTAAATACAGTCTGAGGACAGAGAGGGACATTAGAGACTAGAACCTCCACACAAGAGTTTAAATACAGTCTGAGGACAGAGAGGGACATTAGAGACTAGAACCTCCACACAAGAGTTTAAATACAGTCTGGACTCACAGGGCTTTGGTGGAGGCTCTGACCACCGGCAGCAGACCCAGGAGAGCTCTCTCTGAGCGCTGGTATTTCCTCAGGTCAAACTCCTCCAGGTCTGAGTTTGAGGACAGTAAGACGAAGGACAGAGCAGACCACTGAGCAGGAGACAAGTCTCTTTTAGAGAGACCACCTCCTCTCATTTTCTCCTGTATCTCCTCCAGCAGACTGTGGTCGTTGAGCTCGTTCAGACAGTGGAGCAGGTTCAGACTTCTCTCTGCAGACAGATCCTCTTCATCCAGCTTCTCTTTGATGTACTCTACTGTGTCCTTCATAATTCGATCACTTCCTGCCTTAGTCAGCAGACCTTGCAGCAGCCTCTGATTGGTCGGCAGAGACAGCCCCAGGAGGAAGCGCAGGAACAGGTCCAGGTGTCCGTTTGGACTCTCTAAGGCCTGGTCCACAGCAGAGTGGTAGAAGGCTATCTCAGACTCAGGAATCTCAGGGGGGACAAAGGAGTTGTCCTCTGTGTCTGAACAGTCCTCAGACTCTTGTCTTTCAGGGTGTGGTAGCAGGTTCTCTCCAGAGCTGTAGAAGGTCTGATGGACGTGAAGAGCAGCCAGAAACTCCTGCACACTCAGATGGATGAAGCAGTAGACCTTGTCCTGGTACAGGCCTGGCTCCTCTCTAAAGAACTGTGTGAACACTCCGGAATACACTGAGGCTGCTGCAGCGTCCAGCCCACACTCGCTCAGGTCACTCTCGTAGAAGATCAGGTTTCCTTTCTGCAGCTGCTCAAAGGCCAGTTTTCCCAGAGACTCCACCATCTTCTTGTTTTCAAGAGACCAGGCTGAATCTGCCTGCAGTTTCCCGTGGTATTTGATGTTCTTCTGTTTAAGCTCCACCACCAGAAGGTGGACGTACATCTGTGTGAGAGTCTGGGGCAGCTCTGGGTCCTCTGTTTGTTCCAGAAGCTTCTGTAGAACTGTGGAGAGGATCCAGCAGAAGATCGGGATGTGGCTCATGATGTAGAGGCTGCGGATGCTCTTGATGTGAGAGATGACCATTTTGGCCTTGTCTCTGAACCTCTTCCTGAAGTACTCCTTCTTCTGCGGGTCGGCGAACCCTCGCACCTCTGTCACCATGGAGACGCACTCAGCAGGGATCTGACTGGCCGCGGCGGGGCGCGTGGTTATCCAGACGCGAGCGGAGGGAAGCAGGCTCCCCCTGATGAGGTTCACCAGCAGCACGTGCACTGAGGCGGACTCTGTGGGGTCGCTCAGGACCTGGGTTCGGCCGAAGTCCAGAGGAAGTCTGCACTCGTCCAGACCGTCAAAGATGAAGAGCACCTGGAGCTGTTGGAAGCTGTAGAGATCTTTGGATGGACTGAAGAAGTGGTGCAGCAGCTCCACCAGGCTGAACTGTGTGTCTCTGAGCACGTTCAGAGCTCTGAAAGTGAAGGGGAACAGCAGCTGGAGGTCCTGGTGGCCCCGGCCTTCAGCCCAGTCCAGACTGAACTTCTGAGTCAGCACTGTTTTCCCCACACCAGCCACGCCCTTCGTCATCACTAATCTGATTGGCTCCTCTGAGTGTGGGCGGGGCTTAAAGAGCTCTTCACATGTGATGGTCTCTGAAGCGGCCGGTCTCCTGGACGCCGTCTCCATGAGTCTGACCTCATGTTCCTGGTTGACCTCTGAGGCTCCGCCCTCTGTGATATGGAGCTCTGTGTAGATCTGGGTCAGGGGGGCGGAGTCTCCTGCTTTAACCACGCCCTCAAACACACGGTGGAACCTCTGCTGCAGATGACTCCTCAGTTTATCAATGACTCCAACTTTAGTCCCTGAGAACAACAGAGGAACAGGCATCAGTGACGACACGATCTGTAAATGAAACACACATATTTTCTAAAAATAAGGATAATAATTTCATAGACTTGCACTTTACACACAGGGGCAGACAGAAGTGAGGCCCCCCCACCGACACTCACACTTAAGGGCGAAGTATAGTTCTGCGTCAACTCAGTGCACACTGCCGCTGTCGCCTTGACGCCGTTGTTTTTGATTTATGGATCTACGTCGAAGTAATTCACCGCCACAACACCAAGAGGCGAGGATTTAAACCTGACGTTCGTGTAAAGTTCAACATGAACCATCTCCAACGTGACAGAAACACAGAACAGACTCACCATCAGCAGAACACCCTCTGTAACACCCCTCTGTCACAGAGAGAACACCCCTCTGTCACAGAGAACACCCCTCTGTCAGAGAAGAGAACACCCCTCTGTCGCAGAGAGAACACCCCTCTGTCGCAGAGAGAACACCCCTCTGACACAGAGAGAGAGAACACCCCTCTGTCGCAGAGAGAACACCCCTCTGTCGCAGGAGAACACCCTCTGTCACACAGAGAGAACACCCCTCACCCCTCTGTCGAGAGAACACCCTTACACTGCAGGAGAACACCCCTCTGTCGCAACACCCCTCTGACAAGACCCCTCTCGCAGAGAGAACAGTCAGAGAGAACACCCCTCTCACAGAGAGAACACCCCTCCACACACCCTCTCAGAGAGAACACCCCTCTGTAGGAGAGACACCCCTCTGTCACAGAGAGAACACCCCTCTGTCACAGAGAGAACACTGACACGAAGACACCCCTCAACCCCTCTGTTCGCAGAGAAAACACCCCTCTGACACAGAGAGAACACCCCCCACAGAGAACACCCTCTGTCGCAGAGAGAACACCCCTCTGTCGCAGAGGAACACCCCTCTTCACAGAGAGAACATCCTCTGACACAGGAGAACACCCTCTGACACAGGGAGAACACCCCTCTGTCGAGGGAGCTCTGTACGAACACCTGTGTGTAACACCCCTCTGTCGAGAGAACACCCCTTGTCGCAGAGAGAACACCCCTCTGTCACCCCTCTGTCACAAGTAGACAGGAGACTCTGAACACCCCTCTGTCGCAGAGAACACCCCTCTGAAACACCCTCTCAGAGAGAACACCCCTCAGAGAGAACACCCCTCTGTCACAGAACACCCCTCTGAGAGAACACCCCTCTGCACACCCCTCTGTAGAGACACCCCACACCCCTCTACAGAGAACACCCCTCTGTTCAGAGAGAACACCCCGCAGAGAGTCACAGAGAGCAGAGAGAACACCCCTCTGTCAGAGAGAACACCCCTCTGCAGAGAGAACACCCCTCTGACACAGAGAACACCCCTCTGTCACTCACAGAGAGAACACCCCTCTGTCACAGAGAGAACACCCCTCTGTCACACAAGAGAACACCCTGTCACCAGAGAGAACACCCCTCTGTCACAGAGAGAACACCCTCTGAGAGACACAGAGAGAACACCCCTCTGTCGCAGAGAGAACACCCCTCGTCGCAGGAGAACACCCCTCTGCACAGAGAGAACACCCCTCTGTCACAGAGAGACCCCTCTGCAGAGAACACCCCTCTCACAGAGAGAACACCCCTCTGACACAGAGAGAACACCCCTCTGTCGAGAGAACACCCCTCTCAGAGAGAACACCCCTCTGACACAGAGAGAACACCCCTCTGACCAGAGACACACCCCTCTGTCACACAGAGAGAACACCCCTCTGACACAGAGAGAACACCCCTCTGTCACAGAGAGAACACCCCTCTGTCACAGAGAGAACACCCCTCTGTCGCAGAGAGAACACCCCTCTGACACCTCGCAGAGAGAACACCCTCTGTCACAGAGAGAACACCCCTCTGTCACGCAGAGAGAACACCCTCTGTCGCAGAGAGAACACCCCTCTGTCGCAGAGAGAGAGAACACCCCTCTGTCGCAGAGAGAACACCCCTCTGTCGCAGAGAGAACACCCCTCTGTCGCAGGGAGAACACCCCTCTGTCACAGAGAGAACACCCCTCTGTCGCAGAGAGAACACCCCTCTGTCGCAGAGAGAACACCCCTCTGTCACAGAGAGAGAACACCCCTCTGTCGCAGAGAGAACACCCCTCTGTCGCAGAGAGAACACCCCTCTGTCGCAGAGAGAAACCCCTCTGACACAGAGAGAACACCCCTCTGTCGCAGAGAACACACCCTCTGTCGCAGGGAGAACACCCCTCTGTCGCAGAGAGAACACCCCTCTGTCGCAGAGAGACACACCCCCTCTGTCGCAGAGAGAACACCCCTCTCACAGAGAGAACACCCCTCTGTCACACAGAGAGAACACCCC